TTCCCTACTGCTCACTCCCTTATTCCCATTCCCCCTCAAGCCACTCTTACCACCTCCCCCCCACCTCTAGCCACAATGTCACATTCTAAAGCAACCCACCCTTCCACTGTGCTCTCCAGAATATGTGCTCTGAAGGCAACAAACTTGGCTTCATCTTAAATCTTTTCCTTTCTCATGCCTCATCTTTTGGCTTTCACCAAGTTCTGGCTCCCTCCTGATGACAATACAGCCTCTGTCCCTCCCTTTTCAGTATCAGTTGCATTTTCACTTAGTCTCTCCCTCACCCCCCAATGCCACTGGACCAAGTGGGGAGGTTGGAGTACTCCTTGCTTCCCATCGCCACTTCCAGATTCTCTCTTTCTATCCATCACTCAATAATCTCTCCTCCTTTGGGGGTCCCTCAGTTCATATTTATTACCTGATCAGAATTCTGGTAGCTATTGTCTACTAACTTCCAGGGTACTCTTTTTTCTTCTTTAATGAGTTTGGGTGCCTGGCTTACAGACCTCAACTTCCCAACTTCTGCCCTCAACTTCCATATCAATATTCCCTGAAACACTCTAACCTCTCAGTTTCTCCACTTACTCATTCCCCACGATTTCTTCCACCTCACTGCACTTATGTGCAGAGATGGTCATACCCTTCACCTTGCTATCGCCCACAAATGCACCCTTTCCAGGTTCATGAACTCTGAAATTCCTTTATCTGATCACAATCTGTTGTGATTCTACCTCTCCCTTGGCCTTGCCACCCTAGACCCTGATCTTCATTCTCACTGTGACCTCGAATCCCTCCATGCCTGGGTTCTTTCCCAGGTCTTCACTCTGGTGCTGGCCTCACTCTTGACTCCTTAGTGAATCAATTCAATTCTACATCTTCTCTTGACTCCCTTGCCCCCTTGTGCTATAATCATTGAACTTGCCCTGCCAAATCTCGAGTTTTCGATCACTCCCACCATCCGCTGCCTTTGCTCTTACACTCGTGCAGCTGAATGAAACTGTAGAAAGTCATGCACCAATGTTGGCTGGATCCACTACAAATTTGTATTACACAATTTCAACTGGGCTGCTGGGTATTTACAGTGGATAGAACACTGGGCCTGAGGTCAAGAAGACTCATCTTTGTGAATTCAAATCTGGCCTCAGACTCTTACTAGCTGTGTGACCCTGGGCAAGTCACTTCACCCTGTTTGCCTCAGTTTCCTCATCTGTCAAATGAGCTGGAGAAGGAAACCACTCCAGTATCTCTGCCAAGAAAACCCCCAATGGCATCACCAAGAGTTGGATAGGACTGAACAAGTTTCAAATAGGCCCTCACTGTTGCTAAGTAATCCTCTCACACCTCCCTGATTAATTTACTGTCACATTCTCCAGAGTCACTCTTCCAACCTTTATATCCCTCCTTAAACCACCTATGGCTGCCCTTCTTCCCAGCCTCTCAGCTATGAGCCAAGTCTCTTATTTCACTGAAAAAAGAGACCATTTGCCGAGAGCTTCCTTTTCTTCCCTCCTCTTCACATCACATCTCCCAGATCCCTTCTGCCACTGGCTCCACCTTCACCCTTGTCTCACATGATGGACTGGTCCTTCTCCTTTCAAAGAAAATCCCTCTACATGTACATGCAATCTCATGTTTTCCTGTCTTCTCCATTGGATTACCTCATCTATCATTTCCACTCTTACACATATTTTCAATCTCTCCTTGTCTACTGGCTGCTTTCCTACTGCCTACAAACATGCCCAGGTCTTCCCCATCCTCAAAAAACTCTTACTTCATCCATTCAACTTCACTAGCTACTGTCCCATGTCTCTCTTCCCTTTTGTGGTTTAACTCCTTGAGAAGGCCATCTACAATAGGTGCCTTGACTTCCTGTCCTTTTGCTATCTTCTTAACTCTCTACAATCTGACTTCCTACTTCCAACTTCATCATTCAGCTGAAACTACTCTCTCCAAAGAGACCAATGGTTTCTTAATTGTCAGATCTAATGACTTCTTAAGCATCATCCTTCTAGACCTCTCAACAGCCTTTGACACTAGTGATCACCCTCCTCTCCTTGGTACTCTCTTCTTTCTAAGTTTTCATGACTCTGCTCTTTCCTGGTTCTTTTCCTATCTACCTGATCATTCCTTATTTTCTATTCTGATTTTTAACCCAGCTAAGCAGTTAAAGGTTTCTCCAAGGGCTTGCCCTGGGACCCCCTTTTCATCTCTCTCTCATCACTACTTCACCTTATGATCTCTATAAATCCATTTATTATTTCTCTGCTGATGATTCTCAAATCTATTTATCTACCCCAACTTCTTTGCTGATCTCCTGTCTTGCCTCTCCAACGGCCTATCAGACATCTTGAATTTGAAGTCCTATAGACATCCTAAATTCAACATGTCTAAAACTGATCTTATTATTTTCCTCCCCAAATCCTTCCCTCTTTCTATTGTTGAAGGTAACCCCATCTTCCCAGTAACCCGTACTCACAACCTAAGCATCATTCTTGACTTCTCACTATCTCTCACCCCTCCCCCAATATCAATCTGTTGCCAAAACCTGTTGATTTTACGTGCACAAAATCTCTTGCACTCTTCCCTTTCTCTCCCCTGACACTGCCACCATCCTGTTATAGATCCTCATCACTTCACCCTTGGAGTATTGCAACATCCTGCCGGTGGATCCGCCTGGACAAACCTCTCCCCATTCCAGTCCACCTTCCACTCAGTTGCCAGAGTGCTCTGCCTAAATCTAAGGTTCAATCATAGCTCTCCCCTGCTCAAGGAAGGACAAACCATAACCTGTGGGTAGTCCAGGCTGACCCAATAGGGACCCAGCTGGCTAGTTCCACTTGGGCAACTCAGCTCCTCCTCTTCTCTCCCCTTCTTTCCCCCTTCTTCCTCCTCTCCACCCTCTCCCCTCCTCTTCCTTCCTTTTCCATTTTCTTCCCTCCTCTCTCCTCCTCTCCTCTCCGCTCTTACCTGAGGGTGTTGTGCCCACTTGTGGGCACCTTGACTCACTTCTTAAACAGGCCTATGCATTGAATGGGTGTTATCTCACTCAAAATGGGAACTTATAAGAAATAATGAGCAGGCGGACTTCAGAAAAACCTGGAGAGGCTTGTATGGACTGATGTTGAGTGAAGTGAGCAGAACCAGGAGAATGTTGTACACAGTAACAGCCACATTGTGTGATGACTAATGTTGATAGACTTAGCTCTTCTCAGCAATGCAAGGATCTAAGACATCTCCGAAAGTCTCATGATGGAAAATGCTATCCACACCCAAAAAAAAGAACTATGGAGTTGGAATGCAGATTGAAGCATACTATTTGCTATTTTTTCTTCTGTTTTGTTTTGTTTTCTCTTTCTTGTGGTTCCTCCTATTGGTTCTAATTCTTCCTTACAGCATCACTAATGTGAAAGCGTGTTTAAATAGAATGTGTATATATATAGCTAATATCAGATTGCACACCATCTTGGGGAGGGAGGTGGGGAGGGAGGGGGAGAAAGGATTGAAATTCAAAAGCTTGTGGAAGTAATTATTGATGGATTAAAATAAATTAATAAAAAAAGCTAAAAAAAAGAATACCAATTTATCATCTGTATGGAAGATAAATTATAGAGAAGAGAGACTGGAGGCAGGGAAACAAATTAAGGATCTATTAGAATCATCTAAGCTTTTTCTGTTGTATTTTATTTCAAATTTAAGATGATTTTTTTTAATTTAAATCGTGATGGCTGTGTGTTTTATGCATATGTTTTAGATAATTTGTTAGCTCATAGAGAAGAAGCATGAGATAGAGTATATATTAGTACATATTTCATAGAATCATTGAATTTTAAAGTTAGAAGGTATTATCAAGGTTGTTTAGAACAAGCCCTTGCCCAATGGGTGAATCACCATTTCAAAATGCTTTTTGAACGTGATATATATTTGTATCTCAGCAAAACATGGATAATACCACTTCAAAAAAAGAGTGAGAACTCAGGAAGACATTAGCTTAAAAGGCCAAGGTCTCCCACTGCATCCTGGGCCATCTCCAGTTGTCCTGATCTATATCTGGCCACTGGACCCAGATGGCTCCGGAGGAGAAAGTGAGGCTGGTGACTTTGCACAGCCCTGCCTCACTCAAATCCAGTTCAATTTCAAATCATGTCATCATCTTCCTGATGTCATAGTCCTCTTTGAGAACTAAATCTAAACCACAACTCAATTAACTCCAGTGGCTCCCTATCCCCTCCAGGATCAAATATGAAGTCCTCTGTTTGGACTTTGAAGACCTTCATACCAGACTCCCCACCTCCTACCTTTCCAGCCTTTTTATACTTTATATACCACTCTCACCATCATATGCACATATACCCTGCAATCCAGTGACTATGACCTCCTTGCTGTTCCTCCATCAAGAATCTTCATCTTCCAACTCCGGTCATGTTCTCTGGCTTTCCCCCATGGTTGGAATGCTCTCCTGGCTCGTCAGTACCTCCTGGAGGCCCTAGCTTACGTCAGATCTCATCTCAAATCCCACTATTTACAGAAAGCCTTTCCTGATATGCCTCAATTCTGATGCTTTCCCTTTATGTATTATCTCCAGTTTATCCTGTATGTGGCTGGTTTGTACATATTTTTTTTGCATGTTATATCTCCCCCATTAAACTATAGCTTCTTTTTGTTTGTTTCTTTGTTTGCTTTTTTTTCTAATATGAGGCAATTGGGGTTAAGTGACTTGCCCAGAGACACGCAGCTAGTGAGTTTTGTGTGTCTGAGGACAGATTTGAACTCAGGTCCTCCTGACTCCGGGACTGGTGCTCTATCCACTGCATCACCCAGCTGCCCCTAAACTATAGCCTCTTGAGGGAAGGGACTGTCTTTTGCCTTTCTTTGAATCCCCAGACTTTAGCACAGTGCCTGGCACATAGTAGGCATTTAATGATTCTTGATGGCCATTGTATATACTAGGAGTTTTAGTAATATTTTTTGAATTAAACTAAATTACTTATGATCTCTATCAGACAAAAGAAGGTCCTGCAGTAAGAAAGTCATCATTCAGAACCACGCCAAGGGTGAGTAACCACAGGAGCAGAACGAGTACGGAGCTCTGAGATGGCACCATGGGTCAAGTTTCTGCCTGATATGGTAAGTACCAGGGCGTATCTGCCTGGAGACATGGGCCAGACTAGGTGCTCCTCCCATCCTTTTGGAGGCTTTCTTCACTCCATGAAAGGCTGGGGAGCCTGGAAAGGGAGAAGGGGACTATGGAGTGTGTTAGGACCTAGGGTGAGGGCAGGGCCAGCTCTATCACTTCACTGCTATTCATGGTCTTGGGGCATGCTGGTCTCTACCTCTTAGGAGGCCCTTCCATTTCTACCCTGTGGACTGAAATTCTACTTGTCCCTTAAAGCTTAGATCAAAGCCTACCTCTTCCAGGAATGAGACTACTGCCATCCACATGGATCTCTCCCTTTTCAGACTTTCGTGGGCTCTTGTTGTCCAGGAGTTTTCTGGGGGCAGAAATGGGATTTTTCCAACAGACCCCAAGGGAAGGGGCTCTCCGTGAAAGGCAGTTATTGTGTCCCCCTTGGAGACTAGTTGCTCTTTAGGACAGCATTTGGGTCCCCTGCTTCAGACTGGGGATGCTCTGAGGGCATGGACTGAACCTTTCTGCCTCTAATACTCCCAGTTTTCATCTGGAACTCTGGACATGAGGCATCATCAGACTGTGGGGATGGATGATTGTAGCTGGGGCTGACAAGGCCACAAAGCAGGCCCCACAGCCAAAAGAGAATGAAAGGAAATAATGGAATGATAAGGTTTATATCTCAAATGGATCTTAGAGCACAGAATGGCAAAGGTAGGAAGAAATTCACAGTAGAGAATGACGGAGCTGGGAGAAATCTTAGAAGTGAGCTGATTCCTAACCCCTAATCCAACAGAGGAGGAGGCTGGTCTAGACACATCTGCCGGCTCCAGATGCAGTGTTGGGGGTGGGGTGAGGGGCAGGGATGGAGAGGGGCCAAATGGGGCAAAAAAAGGACTTCAGGGGTCCCTGTGGGAGGACATTCTGGGCCAGCCTATACTTTTTCCCTTGCCAGCTGAGTACCAGCTGGGCAGGAGTCTAGGCCACTCTGCTCCAACTGGACTTAGGGGTTCCCGGCATCTACCCCTCTTCCCTAGATCTAGCCCAGGGATTCTTCACTGTCCAGGGTGAGTCTGACTCACTGTTCTCAGAACTGTGCCAGTGATGGAGGGGAAGGGGTTGTGCAAAGGGGGTGGGTAGGAGTAGTCCAGGAATAAGGTTCCAGACAGGGAAACAGGAGCTGTCCAGCTAAATGCAGACACACCGTCATGGTGGCAAGGCCCTGAGTCACCATTCCTGGGTGACAGATTATGTTGCCCAGCCCCAAGGAAGGGACAGCCCCCCTCCCTCTTTCTCCTTCCCCTTGAACTAGATCTCTCGATTTTTGACACATATGCTGGGAATTTGTGTTCCAAGGGGCCTTGGAAGGTCACCCAGTTTATACCAATGCCTTTGGTCAGAACCCGTGTCCCAGAATTATTTAAAGTTATAGGTAGAAGGGTCCTTAGAACAGAGAATGGCAGAGCTGGGAGGGGCCATTAGAACATAGAATGTCAGAGCAGGAGAGATCTTAGATCATAAGATGTCAGCTCTGACAGGGACCTTAGAACCCAGCTGGAAGGGACCTTAGTGACCATTTAAGTGCCCAAATGAGCACAGCTGAAGCCTACAACTGGGCCAGAGCTGGATACCTAATACCGAGTGCCCACAGGAATGTTGTCACCCATCCCAGTGGGACCAGAAGCCTGACTCCATTTGTGAACTCTTCCCCCTACCTAGAGCTGTACCTGTTCAGAACCAAGGATTGATATGACAGAGCCCATGAGGCCAGCCATGGGAGTTCATACCTGACCACCTGTTCAGCCAAGCTTGGAGAGCAGGAATCTCAGGAAATATCCATCAGGGGCACCCCTGCTCCCTGCAGCTTCTGCAGCTCCTTCAAGAGGAGGAAGGACCCTGGTAACTCTGATATGTGATGATGATAACCTCCATGACCCCCAACATACCCCCATTACTGCTGTGATGACCCCTAGATGCTGAGAGGGAAAAGAATAGCCCTCTCTCTCTGCCTCACCCTCTCCCTGGCCCCCCTGCCCTCATTGGCTCCTTGTGTATACAGTAACAGGATCTGCTGGCAGGCCCCAGGCTCTCCTGTTGACAGCCCAAACCCTGCCTCTGGCAGCAACTGTCTTAGCCTATAGCTCCAACTGGCTGGCACACCCAGGACGTTCCCTTTGTCCCTCTTCTTCCTAGTCTCCCAGAATAATTGGGGGGCGGGGGTACACATATGCCTTAGCTCTTCCTGCCCAGCCCGGAGGTTGACCTCTTAGAGGAAGAGCCCTTATGCCTGACCTCAATCCCAGGCACCACTGTTCCCCTCAGTGTGCCTAGCACAGATAGCCTCCTCCATCCCAGCAACCCAGGCCTAGAGGCTCCCTGCCTCCCCCCCCACACACAATCAAAGACAGAAGAGGAAGGCTGGGGAGAGCAAGCTTCATAGAACACAGGGAATCCGAAGGAGGAGGATTAAGACTGAGCTGATATCCCCCAGGGTATCTAGAAGAACCTCATTTCTAGCCATTCGTTAGAATCATAGGGTCACAGATTGAGAGAGGGAAGGGGCCTTAGAAGTCATCAAGTCTGACCCCCTTATTTTACAGATGGGAAAACTGAGGCACTGAGTGACTTGCCCAAGGTCACACAGCTTGTGTCAGAGCTAAGATTTGACTTCAGGTTCTCAGTCTCCATGTCTAAGCACACTTTCCACTGTAGCCAGTGATTCAGATGCTGAGGCTGATGATGACCTAGAGGAAGGGCCAGGAATATGGACTTGGCAGTCAGGAAACCTGTGTTTGAGCTCCAGCTCTGCCACTTGATCACTGTATGAGCGTAGGTGAGTCACATCCCTTCTCTGGGCCTCAGTTTCTTCGTCTGTCAAATGGGAATCATAGTAATACCTCCCCTGCTTACCTCATGGGATAACTGTGAATAGCAAAGGAAAAATGGATTCTGAGTGCTTCATACATTGTCATGTTAGTGGGACTTTTCTAGGTAGGAGGCCATGCAGCCTGATGATAAGACTAGGTTGGACTCCCATCTCTGATCTGACCTGTGTGACCCTAGTAGCTCTACAACATAATGATTGCCTAACCTCAAATCCATTCCATTACTGTATGCCTCTGCCTTCCTATTCACCCCCAACCTTGAAAGGGAGATCTACTCTTTTTTTTTTTTGCTTTTTGATGAGGCAATTGGGGTTAAGTGACTTGCCCAGGGTCACACAGCTAGTAAGTGTCATGTGTCTGAGGTTGGATTTGAACTCAGGTCCTCCTTACTCCAAGGCCAGAGCTTTATCCACTGCACCACCTAGCTACCCCTGAAAGAGAGATCTAGACTGACTTTGCCATTTTGCTTTTCTGACCCTGAGTTGTCTATATGATGGGCATAATAATACCCCTCCTTCACAGGGCTGTTGTGAGTCTCAAAAAAGGCCGTGCATGTAACATGCTTTGCAAGGCTACTAAAAGCATTATGGCAGCGTGAGCTATAAGTCAGTTAATAAACATCTATTAAGCACCTACTGTGTACCAGGCACAGTGCTGTACAGGGGAGAGCATTGGACCTGGAGCCAGGAGACAAGGTCTCTCTAATGCTGTGCTTGTAGATAAGCCAGAGAGAGGCGGGCTTGAAAGCCTTGGAGGAAGTTGTCTTTGGAGCTTGTGGGATGACCTAGCCCAGAGAGTCATTAACAGCCCGGGGGGAATTCCTGATGGAGCGCCCCAGGGACCCAAGTTTGGCCCAGTGGTGTTTAATGTCAGACGAGGCCAAAGGCATGGATGTCGTCCTTGACTGGTTGACAGATGACTCAAAGTGAGGATGTGATGGTTGGAGGACAGAATTGAGATACAAAAACATGTCAGGCTCAAACACTGGGCTGAGTGGAAAAATACGACATTTTATAGCGAGTAAATGGATACTGCTGCACTTTGGTTAAAGAAGTCACCTTCACTGGGACAATACAGGGAAAGCATGGGGAGATAGCAGTTTTTATGGAAAAAATCTGGGGGTTTTGATGGATAACAAGCTCAAGAGAAGTCCAAAGGATGATATGGCAGCCTCAAAAGCTAATGGGACCTGGGCGGCATTGAGAGGGGAAAGTTGATAGGATGCTATTGCCATAGGATCTTAGATTTGGAACTCGAAAGGACTTCAGAGGGCATCCAGTCTACCTGCTTCACTTTGTAGATGAGGAAACTGAGCCCCACAGGAAGGCGGTGACTTGCCCAAGATCATACATGTAGAAATGTCAGAGCCCGTCCTGGAACCCAGGGTGTGGCACCATAGTGCATAGAGCACTGTGGTGGGAATCAGGAAGACTCATCTTCCTGAGTTCAAATCCAGGCTCAGACACTTACTAGCTAAGTGAGCCTGGGCAAGTAGCTTAACCCTGTTTGCCTCAGTTTTCTCATCTGTAAAATGAGCTGGAGAAGGAAATGGCAAACCACTCCAGCATTTTGCCAAGAGAACCCCAAATGTCTGAACGTGACTGAAAAAATGACTGAACAATAACATGTAAATCCGTGGTGTCAAATTCAACAGGGGCCACTGATTTGCACATAAGGATCCCGACCATCACATATTGATTTAGTTTTGAAATGTAATATTGTCTATGTCTTACTGCAGTTTTGTTTATTTGTTAAATATTTCCCAACTACTTTTTAATCTGGTTCAGGCCCACTTGGGAGAAGCATTTGGCCTTTGAGCTGAGTAGATAATCTTGTTCTGTTTGTCCTCAGAACAATGAAGTAGAAGTATTGGGGGTGGGGAGGAGCTGAAGAAATGTGGATTTAGTATTGATGAAAAGAAGTTTCAACCATCTAAATAATATCTGAGGTCTCTCCCACCTCTGACATCCTCTGTTACAAGACCTCTCCCAACTCTGACATTCTGTGTTTTAAGGGCCCTCCCAGCTCTGCCATTCTGTGTTCTAAGGGCCCTCCCAGCTCTGCCATTCTGTGTTCTAAGGGCCCTACCAGCTCTGACATTCCATATTCTAAGGACGCTCCCTGCTCTTCCACGCTGTGAGCCAAATGATGCTATCATCATGCAAACAAAGGTCCCTCACTTGCATCTCCAGCCAGAGGCCCTGGCTTAGAATTTCGGGGCTCTGCTGCTAATTCCCAGTGTAACCTTGGACAAATCTCTTCCCTTCTTTAGACCCCAGTTCCCTCCTCTGTATAATGGAGGAGATGGGCTGGAGGATCTCTAAACCTGCCCCTTCCCCCATCTCTGATTCTGTGAACTGGATTATGGAGCCCTTTGATGCCAGCTTCTCAGCACCAGACACAGACCTTAGATTGTCTCTGTGGGCTGGCTGGGCTCATTGATTCATTGCCTTCTGGAGGAGGCTGGGGCCTAATAAGCCATGAGCTGGACCCTCGGCTTCCTACTTCTACCTCCCTCCCTCCATGCCTTAAGTAACTGGTGTGTCCTGTTCAGGTTGACTTGTCAAGGACATTCTAAATAGCCACTGTAAACTCTCCAGGCTTTGGGGAGGGGGGCAGAGGGGGGAAGAGGCTGATTGGTGGAGCTCACACCTGTCCAGGTGCAGCTGAGCCAGAGGGGGAGACTCTCAGAGCAGAAGGTCTGTGAGGGCAGAGGGAGGACGAGAGTGAGTTGATGAGAGGTGGCCCTCTGGATGTGGGGGGCCCGAACAAATAGGATCTCTGGGGAAGTCTGGATAGTTTGTGGAGCATTGTGGAATAGTGTGTGTGTCTGTGGGAGTGAAGCAGTCTCGGGGGGAAGTCTGTTTGAAGAGCGCTGGTGGGATCAGAGCACTTGGACTGGACTCTTTACTTTCCCGTGTCCTAGCTTTGTGACCTTGGGTAAGTCCCTTCCCTTCTCTGGTTCTCCTCCTCCATAAAATGAAGGAGCTGGCCCAGGTGAGATCTAGCTTCCCTTCCAGCTGTGATTCCTATCATTGTAGTTCTGGAACAAGTTTCTTCTCTTTGGGTTGCTGAGGGAGGAGAGATGGAAAGAAGCCTGGAAGCCAAGGGCCAACCCAAGGCCAGCTTGTCTTATAGGGATTAAATGGCAGGTGGGCAGAACTGTTTAGTAGGTACTGCCCGGGCACTGACTGCTCCTCTCCCCCCAACACACACAGCTTGGCTCTGGGCAGAAGGGAGTGTCTCCTTTTATTCAGGGACCCGATCTAGTCTCCCTTGTAACCCTCCTTCTGCTCCCAGGGGCTACGTGGGGTGGCCGGAGACAGCCAGGAGGTCCAATGCCTGCTGGTGAGGCAGAGGGGCCCAGGGAGGTTGGGTGGTCTGGGGGATGTTGCGTGTGATGGCTGCTTTTCCTGCTGCCAGGCTGGAGGGACATAGGTAGAGAACTCTCCTAAAGCCTGCTCCCAGACACACTGCACACACATACAGGAAAAAGGCATGTAACAGAAATACCACACGGTAATGGACTCACTCAGGTACACATTCCCAGAGATGACTGGCCCGTACATGCACACACACATACCACACACCACATGCCACACACACATGCCAGACATTCACATATATACATGCCACACACGCACACCACATATGCACATACCACGCACAAACACCCCCCCACACACATTCCCCCATCTCTCTTTCAGCTCTGAATCCTCCTCTGTATACACACACATTCATCAGAGCAAGATTTGAAATGGGCCTTGGGGAAGGAGGAATCAGGCTCTTAGAACAGAGTATGTCTGAGTCAAAGGGGTCTTAGAGATGATCTACTCCATGTTTCCCATGAGGGTCTCAGACCCAGAGGCGTTAACTGAGGCGAGAGGCACAGTAGGGAGCCAAATTGATTCTCTTTCCACTTCTCCTTGAGCCCTCTGAGCTGAATTTCAGGCTGGACACTGGCTGCATGATGCTGGGGGGTGGGATGTGAGTGGGTGGTCACTACTAGGAGAGAGAGCCCACCCAGATCAGAAGAGGAAGGCCTCAACTCTCTGGGCCATAGGGAGGGGCTGGGCTGTCCAGCAGGGTCCTCCTGTCTCTTCCACACAGGGCCCTATGATGGAGCATCTGGTGGGACTTCATGAGGGGTCTTCAGGGAATCCTGTGGCCTTACAGGAGCTCTGGGGTCCCTGCCCCAGAGCCCAGCGCAGAATCAGAGGTGAGAGGCCCCTGCCTGCCAAACTCCATTGCTCACCAAGGGAGCAAGGGGGCAGGGTCATGGAGTATCTGGGCTCTGTCTCTTTCCCTGACCTGGCCACTTCTCTTCCCCAGCTTGCCTTTCTCTTACCCTCCCCCTCCAGCTTATTCCCTTCCCTGCTGCCTTTTTTAGTGGCCTCTCTCTCTCTCTATCTGAGACCACCTCAGCCCCTAAAAATAGTCCCTCCCCTAGGACACAGCCTGTAATCTCAGTCCCTGAGCTGGACAGATGGGCGAGCTGCCAGCCCCCTTTCATCTGCCCCCTGCACTGTCACTGCTAAGCATCTCCTGGGAATGGGGAGAAGTGAGGCTCCCCAGCTTCCCTCTGTTGCCTGCAAGAGCAGGGAGGGAGTCACAGGACTCTCTGTCCTTTAGTCAGGTGCTCTCTGGCCTCCCTGCCCCTCCCCCACCACTCACCTGTGCCTCCCCCTACCTTTACCCCTCCCTCCACTGCCTGCCTTGGGAGACTCAGCCTGGGGCTCCCACCCCTTTGGCTAGACTTTGTGGGCACCACAGTGTGGTGGGAGGGGCTACCCCCTCACCCACTTGTACTAATCCATTATCTGGGGAGGTCTGGTGGCAAACAGTATTCTGTCTAGACAGTATTCTGGGTGTAGAGGATAACCTGAGGGTATAGTGTGTGTGTGTGTGTGTGTGTGTGTGTGTGTGTGTGTAAGGGGGTCATAGGACATAAGGCTAAGAAGGTGGGGGGCCCCACAGTGAATGCCAGATATGATTCTGAACTGGTGCCGAGGGGTACAGTGTTTGGAGAGTTGAGCTCATCCCTGGGGACTCTGTCTTTGTTGGACGCTGAGGTGGGGAAGATGCTTGTCTTTGGTGGATGGGAGTGCCAGGTACTTAGCCCAGGGCTCAGGGTCAGGACAGGGGTTGGAGGCATGCCTGGAGAAGGGGGCACCTCCCGGTCCCTGGGGTGAGTAGAGGCTCCTTCTGTCTGCTGCCTGGTCACTGGAGCCCTATCTCCAGTCCCTGGTCTTGGAACCCACCTGGGGGGTAGGCTTTGCTTCCTTGTTTGCTCTGAGCAGTAGAGTGGCAGGATATTTATGAGAAGCAGGAGCTGACACTGAGGGCCTGCCTCCCTCTTCCTCACCAGGCTATAAATACCCATCACAGCAATTCTCCGGGAGGGAGGGAAGAAGTAGCTGGCCACACTTATCTTCATGCAACCATAACCCCATGGCTAGCTGGGCACAGCACCCCCTCCCCATGCCATCTTCTTCAACCTGGCAGCATGCCCTTGTCTGGTTCTAGCTCCCTTCATTCATGCTCACTGGCTCTTTCAGAGCTGAGGCTGGGTAGAAATCTGCCCTGGCATGGGGCCAGCTGCTGCGCCATCTTCTGCTGGCAGCATGCCTCACTACACTGCTCTCTCCAGCGATACCCACTGTCTCTTCCCAACCTGAGGCTGGACACCTGTTTGCCCTGAGGTTGGCAGGCTGTGCCAAGTTGGTCCTGACTTTCTCTGGTCTTCCCCCTCCCTCCCTCTTTGATTAGTCTCGTGCTGGCCAAACTTCTGCCCTGACATGGGGTTCTTGGCAGTTGGGGTTAAGTAACTTGCCCAGGGTCACACAGCTAGTAAGTGTCAAGTGTTTGGTCTGAGGCCGGATTTGAACTCAGGTCCTCCTGACTTCAGGGCTGGTGCTCTATCCACTACGCCACCTAGCTGCCCCTTGATGGGGGTTCATTCTTAATCCAGCCCAGGCTAATGCCTTTCAACAGATCCCTACAACCTAAATGGTCTAATCTTCACCCTGCCTCTTCCATTTTGGCAGGCATCCTGGAGAGAGTGAAGAGACAGCTCTTCCGGGTGGGTGAAGACTGGTATTTCTTGGTTGGCCTAGGAGTGCTCATGGGTCTCATCAGCTTCACCATGAACTTTGTTGTCTCCAGAGTCAGCCATGGTAACTATGGGCATTGCCAGCCTGAGCTGCCCTGTCCTTTTATATCTTTGGAGTGATGGGGAGGTTCTAGCCCAGGGGCATCAGCAATGCCATGTGGGTTGCCTGGCATGGGGAGAAGTGCCATATCCGCTTTCCCATCTTTTTTTCTCTCCCCTTTTATCTACCTCCCTATGGAAAATCCTCCCCATTCTCTTCCAGAAGAATGGTTATGGAAGGTTCAGAGTCAAAGAATGTTAGATCTTGGAGAGCCTTTAGAAGAGAGAATGTCAGAGCTGGGAGGGACCTTAGAACAGAGAATGTCAGAGCTGAAAGGGCCATTAGTACACAGAATGTTAGAGCAGAGATGGACTTCAGAACAGAGAATGTTAGAATCTAGAATGTTAGTGGACCACTCTGTTCTGACTGGACACAGTCTGTCTGTGTGAGTGTTGGGGGAGAGGCAGGCTATTGTTGGTTTAAGTTCTGGATGCCAGATGATAGGAAGGATGATGACAAATTTGGTCACATTCAGAAGAAGGCAAGCAGGGTGGTAGGAGGCCTGGAGACCACATCATGGGAGAAGAGTTTGAAGGAACTAGGATTGAGAAGCTTAGAGAAAAGAAGATTTAGGGAGGACAGGATAGTTGTCCGCAAGTATTAGAAGAGCTGTCCAATGGAAAAGGGATTCAATCTATTCTGTTTGGTGCTACAGGACAGAACAAGTTTGAAAGTGGTTGAAAGTTCATGAAGCAGATTTTGACTCAATGTAAAGAAAACTTCCCAACCATTAGAGCTGTGCCAAAGCACAATAGGCAGCCTTGGGAGGTGCAGGTAGTGAAGTCTTCAAACAATGGTTGGTGAACCATTAGGCCCAGGATGTTGTAGGGGAAATTCCTCTCCAGGTAGGGGCTTTACTAACTGACCCCTGAAGCTCTAATTGACCCAAAGACTCTGTAAACTTAGGACACAGAATGTCCAAAGTTGTCAATTCCTCCATTTTGTGGAGGAGGAAACAGACCTGGACATGGCAAGTGACTTGCTCAAAGTTGCTCTTGAAGTCATCAGCAAACACCCCCATCTTGAGTGAGAAGCTGACCATACCTTCTGGTTACCACCCATTGTCCCCAACCCCAACCTTACCCTCTCCTTGGTGGCTCTTAACACTGACTCACCCACTCAAGCCAGGAGCTTCATTCTATGGAGAATGGCAGGCAGGGCGTCTTCCCAACACTACACTGGAGGCTGGCGAGGCCTTTTGGCCCTGCAACTCCCATGGTCCTCTCTTAGCGCACATGTGGCTGTATCGAGAAATTGGGGACAACCATCTTCTCCGCTACCTGTCTTGGACTGTGTATCCCATAGCCTTGGTCTCCTTCTCCACTGGCTTTTCCCAGAGTATCACCCCTTTCTCTGGAGGTAAGAACTATGGCCCAAAGTACTTGTTCTCTGGGGGGAAAGATAATAACAGTAATAGGAATTCTCAGGCTTTACAAAATGCTTTCTTCATAATAACTCTGTGAAGAAGGCAGGATAAGCTTTTTTTAAAAACAAAAGAGGAAACTGAGGCTCAGGGAAGATTAGTGGTTTACCCATGGTCACACAGCTAATGTTCAAGCTAGGATCCTGATTCACATGTCCTGATTTTATGCTCAATGGAGCTCATGCTCCTTCTTAACCTGTGCTATCTTTCCACTGGTAGTGTCTTGAATTTTTGTATTGGTTTATACTTTTCTAAGTGCTGTCCAATACTTCATCTCAATGAAGTACTGATAACATTATCTCCTATTTTAGATGGGGAAAGTGAAGTGGAGAGGTAGAGATTTGCCCAAAATAATATCATATATTGAATCAGTAGCAGGGCCAGGACTAGCACTCAGGTCTCTTGACTTTTTTTTACATATATCTACCATGATAGGACAGCATTTGGGGAGGGGCGCTGACTAAGGTGATGTGCTAGCTTGGGGTGTGAGGTTAAAAAGCTGCAGAAATAAAGGAGACCAAGTGGCAGCTACCAATGAGGGAAGCCCTGGATCTCCTCACAGAAAGAATAATTTAGTCAGAGAACCCAGATTCAAATCATAGCTCTGCCTCTTATTTGTGTGATCCTGGGCAAGTCATTTATCTCTCTGGGCCTCAACTTCCTCATCTGTGAAGTGAGGAGAGATGGATCATAGAACCACAGGACCATAGCTATGGAGCTCAAAGGAACCTCAGAGGCCAACTGGTCTAACCTCCTCATTTTACAGATGAAGAAACTGAGGGCCAGAGTGGTCAAGTATTAGAGGTAGCATTTGAAGACATGTCCTGGGATTCCAGAGCCCACATCATGCAGCCTTTCTGTGCTTATGGGTTGGTTCAGGGATGGGGGGAGATCGGGGGAGGATAGCGAATTAGCCAATACCAGCCTAAGCCCTACCAGTTTTTATCACAGGTACATCATCAGTAGATAGGAGTGTCCAGACTTGTTGATCCCCACGTGGCCCAATAAAACCACCTGCCTCTCTTCTCCTCACATTCTCCCTGCTCTTAGGCTCTGGAATCTCAGAAATGAAGGTCATTTTATCTGGTGTAGTCCTGGAGGATTACTTGGACATCAAGAACTTTGGGGCTAAAGTGGTGGGCCTTGCCTGTGCCCTGGCATCTGGCAGCACCATCTTTCTTGGCAAAGTGGTATGTGCCCTGAGGGTAGGGATGGACAGGAGGGCAGAGAACCATTTATATGCCTCTGGAATGAGAGTGGGGATGCCTGGGTGTGCTCATCCAGTCCTTCTTCCTCCCAGGGCCCCTTCACACATATTTGCTGCATGATTGCCGCCTACATGGGCAAAGTTCGAGTTTCAGCCCTTGGAGAGTATGAGGTAAGGTCTAGGGTTTTGGGTGGTTCAACGTTCATCTTCTCAGGGATTTGGCTCTCTGCTCCAAAAATCCCTGGGCTCTAGCTGAAGAGTCTGGGAAAGATTGGGAAAGTGGGATATCACAGGTAAACTGCTGGATCATAATAGTCTGAGGTCTTGCCCAACTTTGACATTCTGTATTCTAAGGGCCTTCCTGGCTGTGACTTTCTTGATTCTAAGGATCTAAGGGCCTTCCCAGCTCTGACATAACATGTTCTAAGGGCCCGCCCAGCTCTGACATTCTGTGTTTCAAGGGTTCTCCCAGCTCTGACATTCTGCGTTCTCAGGCCCCTCCCAACCCTGGCATTCTGTGTTTTAAGGCCCCTCCCTGCCCTGACATCCTGTGTTTTAAGGCCCCTCCCAGCTCTGACATAACATGTTCTAAGGGCCCGCCCAGCTCTGACATTCTATGTTCTAAGGGTTCTCCCAGCTCTGACATTCTGTGTTCTAAGGGTTCTCCCAGCTCTGACATCCCATGCTCTAAGGGCCCTCCTAGCTCTGACATTTTGTGTTCTAAGGGCCCTCCCAGCTTTGACATCCTGTGTTCTAAGGCCCCTCCCAGCCCTGACATCCTGTGTTTTAAGGCCCCTCCCAGCTCTGACATAACATATTCTAAGGGCCCGCCCAGCTCTGACATTCTATGTTCTAAGGGTTCTCCCAGCTCTGACATTCTGTGTGCTAAGGGTTCTCCCAGCTCTGACATCCTGTGTTCTAAGGGCCCTCCCAGCTATAACATCCCATGCTCTAAGGGCCCTCCTAGCTCTGACATTTTGTGTTCTAAGGGCCCTCCTAGTTCTGACATTCTGTGTTCTAAGGGCCCTTCCAGCTCTGACATTTTGTGTTCTTCCAAGTTTTCTTCCTGCCTGGACATTCAACATTCTGAAGTCCCTTTTGTTGTTATTGTTCAGCTGCTGAGTTGCGTCTGAGTCTTTGTGACCCCACACCAGGCCCTTCTCTCATCCACTGTCTCCCAAAGTCCGTCCAAATTCATGGTCATTGCTTCCATGACACTTCTATCCATTCCACCCTCTGCCCTCCCCTTTTGCTTTTGCCTTCAATCTTTCCCAACATCAGGGTATTTTCAATGAGTCCCCTTCTCATTATGTGGCCAAAATATTTCAGCTTCAGCTTCAGTACAAACATTCCTCTTAGCTTTGGTTTTAAATGATTCTTGCAACCAAGGTGGGGGACATTCAGAACTGGGGGTGTTTCGAAGCAAGGAAAGTCCCAGGAGCACCAGGTCTCATGGTCTGTCTTTCTTCTCAGAACAAGATCAAGCAGAATGAGCTGCTGGTGGCTGGAGCAGCAGTGGGTGCGGCCACTGTCTTTGGGGCACCCATCAGTGGTGAGATCTGGAAGGGGGGAGGGGAAGAACAGAGTTCCACAGTGCCCCCGCCCAGGGACCTTGCCATTGAGTTTTTACTCCCTCACTCCAGACTCCTTCCTCTCCAACATCCATGGGCTCCCATCTCAGGGCTTTCCTGACCCTAGGGTGGCATGGACAGTCAAATTCTTGCCCCTGCCCCATTGCCTGGGATCCAGGCAGCTGTGTCCTGGTTTAGTCAAACTAATGAACAGGCATGTGCTTCTTAAGCACATGCCATATTCCCAAACCTCCGCAGGAGACGGAGGAAGGAAAGTTGAAGTCCCTTCTAAAGTGTTTATGATCTAATTGGGGGAGATGAGACAAGAAAGCCAACAGGAAACAATGTAAGACACTATCAGAACATTAGGGACAGCTAGGTGGCACCATAGTGTGTAGAGGTCAGGGCCTGGAGTCAGCAAGACTCATCTTCCTCACTTCAAATCCAGATTTGTCTCCCTAGGCCTCAGTTTCCTCATCTGTAAAATGATGGGGTTGGATTTGACGACCTTCAGGGTCCCTTCTAACCCTAAATCTATGGCTTCATCATTCAAATCTATACCTTTTGACTCTAGGCTCAGGGCTCTGTCTGTTACACTCTGAAAAGGGCTTGATCAGTGAAGGCTTCCTGTAGAAGGTGGGATTTGAGCTAATATAGGTCCTTTTTGGTCAGATAATGTCCAGTCTGGGAGTGAGTGGGGGAAGGGGGAAAGAGGGTTCCTCTTGTAGCTGGGAACTCCAGCTGTGGTGAGGGTGAGGTTATCCCTAACCATCAGGTCTGGTGGAAAGTCTGCACTGAGCCTGTTCTGTCTGGCCCCTCCGCCACAGGGGTCCTGTTCAGCATTGAGGTCATGTCCTCCCACTTTGCTGTCTGGGATTACTGGAGGGGCTTTTTCTCCTCGGTCTGTGGGGCCTTCATGTTCCGGCTCTTGGCTGTCTTCAACAGTGAGCAAGGTGGGTAGAATCTGAGCATCCTCCTAGGAGGACTTTTTCTGTCAGGAAAAACAACTCAAGGAGTCTATGTCAGGATTGCTGGAGGGGTTTCTGCTCCACGTTTCTAGGGAGACATCTTCCATCTTTGAGCAGATGGAAGAGAAATTTGAATTAGTTCTTCATGGCCTCCGAAGGTAGAGCAATAAATCAGGAGCAATGAATGAATGGGAGTGACAAAGAGGCCCACTGAGGCTTGATGTCAGGAAAAATGTCCTGACCCTTAGGGCTAACTCCAAGAGGAATGGGGTGCTTTGTAAAAGTCAGGTAGTGAGTTCCCCATCCTTAGCACTCTTTAAGCATATACTAAACATGACTACTTCTTTACAATATAGTAGGAGGGTTACCTGTCCAGGTGTTTAAGTTAACAACCTCTAAGATGACACCAGGCCTGGACTCAAGAAGACTCATCTTCCTGAGTTCAAATGTGGCTTCAGATACTTCCTAACTGTGTGATCCTGGGCAAGTCACTTAGTCCTGTCTGCCTCAGTTTCCTCATCTACGAAATGAGCTGGGGAAGGAAATGGCAAACCACTCCAGTATCTTTGCCAAGAAAATCACAAATGGGGTCATGAAGAGTTGGACACAATTGAAAAAATGATTGAATAACAGCAAAGTTCCTTCCAGCTTTGAGATTCTGTGATTCTATGGGAACACTGGGACACAAGGTCAATAGTGGACAAATTGTATAAGGCTTTAAATGCCAGGCTAAGAGTTTTTGGAGACTTCCTATTGGGGAAGCAGATACTCTTGTAGGGCCTTGAGAAGTCAGGGTGTGGGGGCAAATGTACAGTAAGCTAAGGATCTGATGTATGCTTCCTTTCTACTCCATCTTTCCCCCAGAAACCATCACTTCCCTCTTCAAGACTAGATTCCGAGTAGATATACCCTTTGACCTACCAGAAATCTTCTTCTTTATACTACTTGGGTGAGTAGATACAAGAAGGGCTAGAGACCCAGAAGGATGAGTGGGCCCTTGGCTGGGCACAGCCCTCCCCATTTTCAGGGTGGCCCTGGCCTGCCAATCCCCCCTTTCCTCAAGGAGGAATTCCACTAAGAACCCTGGACTCTACAGCTACACGTCAATGGTAGTCATGTTGAGCTATTTCTGGGGCCTCCAGACAGGGAGAGGGGGAGGGGATCTTAGTTGGACTTCAGGGTTCCTCTTGCCCTCTCCTTCCAGGTTTGTCTGTGGGATTGTGAGCTGTGCCTACCTCTTCGGCCATCGCAGATTTGCATTGTTTGTTCGAAGAAACTGGATTACCAAAAAACTGCTTGCAACAGAGTATGAACCAGGATGAGGGGCTTTTGAGAGTTGGGGGGATGGTGTTTCTCACTACAATTCTTCCTGAGTGTCCATCTGCTAACCTGGCCCCCCTTCCCTAATTCTGAGCCCATAGCCCTGATGATCAGGCCTTCGTCCAGGATCTAGGATCAATCAATCACTAAACATTGATTCAGTGCCTACCAAACGTAGATATTTTGACCATATAATGAGAGGATGGGACTCTTTGGAAAGATGCTGATGTTGGCCAAAATGGAAGACAAAAGGAACAGGGGATGGCAGAGGATAAGATGGTTAGATAGTGCCATAGAGGCAGCAGACATGAGCTTGGACAGACTTTGGGAGACAGTGGATGATAGAGGGGCCTAGGGTGCCATGGTCCATGGAGTCACAAAGAGTGGGACCTCAGGAAGCTTCCATTTACTGGGAGAAGAGAACAAATACAGGGATCTGGAAAATGGGGTGAGGTGGAACATACCCAGGCAACAAGCATTTACTAAGTGTTTACTGTGTGCCAAACCCTGTGCAAAGAAAAACAAAAAACCGAGTTCCTGGCTTCAGGGAGCTTACATTCAAATGAGAGGGGGAGCGGAAGAGACAACGGCACGAAGCAGACTCAGGATCTATACAGAGTAGATGGAAGGCACCCTGAGAGGGGAAGTCCTTAGGATATGGGAAGACTGCCCCTCACTCCCAGCATCCCCTCTCTGGCCCCTGCATAGGGGATAGCATGGGGTGAGCCTGGCCTCCTTCCTCTCCCTTCCAGCAAGCCTGTGTACTCAGCCCTGGTGGCCCTGCTTCTGGCTTCCATCACCTACCCACACAGCCTGGGACGATTCATGGCCTCCAGGGTAAGAGAGAAATGAGGTGGTGGAGTGAGATCCCCTCAATCTAAGTCCATTGATTTCCCCCCTATACCTCACCAGAGCCCATTATTACAGAAAGTATAAGCTAGGCTCTCTGCCCTCAAAGAGCTTACAGTCTAGGTGGGGAGACAGGACCCCCAGGCACCAACTACATCACACAGCAAGTGCTGAGTGCCAAGTGAGGGGAAGAGAAGGCAACAAACATCGATTAAGTGCCTATTATGTGTCAGGCATGTGCTCAGCCCTTTATACATATTATCTTGTTTGATCTTCACAACAACCCTGTGGAGTAGGGGCTCTTATTATCTCTCTCTTATAATTGAGGAAACTGAGGTAGACAGAAGTGGAGTGACTTGTCCAGGGTCACATAGCTTATAAGGGTCTGAGGCTGGATTTGAACTCAGGTTTTCCTGACTCCAGGACCAGCACTCTATGCATTGTACTACCAGTTGCTTCTGGATGTGAAGAGCCCAGATAGTTAATTGGTCCAATAGTTTAGAGGTCAACATCACTGTGGCCAGGGGTCAGCAGGAGTGGACAGTGAAGACTCCCTGGATAAGTCTGCAGGCCTTGGGTAGGGGGAGATATAAAGAGAGAGTGGTGGGGGGAGCAGGGAGCGATATCTGTGAGAATTATTACTCCCATCTCTACCCCTAGTTGTCTATGAATCTGTACCTGGATTCACTATTTGACAACCAATCCTGGGCTCTGCTCTCCCGGAATTCCTCCCCTGAATGGCCCGCAGAAGTGGACCCCAACAACTTATGGTTTGAGTGGTACCATCCCCAGTTTACCATCTTTGGCACCCTCGCCTTCTTCCTGGCCATGAAGGTACGTGTCCCCACTTACCTCCTTGCCACCTTCTCTAACCTGGCATTTTCCCCACTTAGATGCCACCTCTTCTACCCACTTCCTTCCCCTAACCACCCTGGCTTACTGCTGTTGAGGCTCTAGCTGGGCCAGCCTGGGCAGGCTGGTGGAGAGAGCTTGGGCTCTGGAGCCAGAAGGCCTGAGTTAGACCCCAGCTCTGACACCTAGACCCTGTGTGAAAGGAGGCAAGTCACTTTATTCTGCAGGCCTCCTTGACTCATCTGCAGCAGGAGGGGACTGGACCTCATGCAGTAATCTCTGAGGTTCCTACCGGCTCTCAGCCAATGAACTACTCAGAGACTTGAGGTGGCTAGACCTCTATGTGGGTGTTGGGTGTCTGGCTTGGACACTCCCCTCCCCAGCTGTCTCCATCGTGGCTCACTTTCCCACCCTGCCAACATCCTTTATCCTACCAACACCCAGCCCCAAATCATCCCCTCATTCAGCCCCCTCACTCTGCCTCCTTCACATCTCCCCCCTGCTGGGCATCTCCCTCCAGCGTGCCCTTAGGACCGTGCCTCTCCCCACAGTTTTGGATGTTGATTCTCGCCACCACAATACCCATGCCAGCTGGGTACTTTCTGCCTGTATTTATCTATGGTGAGTCTGGAGGGCCCAGAGGTGGTTCGTACTATGTGATCCTTAACCCTTATGCCCATTATATGTGGAAGAGGCTTGGGACCTGGGAATGGGCTGTCTGCCCATGTCTTTGCAGAATATGTCCTGTGTGTAAGAAATGGTGCTAGTTATTATGGCAGCTACAAAAGCTAATGTGACCTTGGGTCATATTAAGGGAGGCATAGTAGCCATAGTGAGGGAGGTGACAAGTCCCAGTGCATGCTGTCCTGGGCAGACCACATATAGAATGTCCTTTTTAGCTCTGGGCTCCACATCATAGAGAAAAAACATTGTCAGGATGGAGCACGTGAAGAAGATGGCAACTGGGATGGTGAGGAGAGGGCTGGAGATTATGATATTCTAGGACTGATTGAAAGAACTGGGGGTGTTTAACTCAGAGAAAAAAAGGTTCAGGCTGACCGTGATAGCCGTCTCGAGTATTTATAGATCTGTCACAAGGAAGAAGGAAGACGTGTTCTGCTTGGCTCCAGGAGAGAGAACTAAGCACCAGTGAGTGGAAGGTCGTTGTTGTTCAGTTGTTTTCAGCTGTGTCTGACTCTCCATGACCCCATTTGGGGTTTTCTTGGCAGAGAAACTGGAGTTGTTTGCTATTTCCTTCACCAGCTCATTTTACAGATGAGGAAAGTGAAGCAAACACAGTGAAGTGACTTGCCCAGGGTCACACAGCTAGTAAGTGTCTGAGGCTGGATTTGGACTTAGGTCTTCCTGACTCCTAGCCCTGTGCACTGTGCACTGTGCCCACCCTGAAGGGGGCACCTGGATGGAAGATTACAGAAAGACAAATCTTAATTCAATGCAAGGAAACTTTGTGTTAACAATTGGAGACATCCAAAAGTGGAAACTCGGGAAGTTGTGGGATCACCTTCCCTGGAAGTCTTGCAGCAGAGCCTGGAAGGTTTCTGGTTGGGGACGTTGTAGAGGGGACTCCTGCTCAGGAACAAAGGACTAGATACCCTTGATTTGTTGCATGGTGGCCCACCACTGGACTTGGAGGCAGGAAGACCAAATGTGAATCCTGCCTCAGACTCTTAGCCATGTGACCAGGGGGCAATTCATTTACCATGCTGGCCCTGATTTTCCTCATTAAAAAAAAATAATTAATTAAATGTTAGTAACTTATTTTTCCCCAGTTACATGTAAAACAATTTTTAAAATTCATTTTTAAACTTTGATTTCCACATTCTCTCCCTTCCTCCCTCCCTACTCTCCTCCCCATTGAAAAGGTAAGCAATTAGATATAGGTTATACATGCATAGTCATGCAAAAAATATTTATAATAGTCATGTTGTGAAAGAAAACACAGAAAAAAAGTCAAGAATAATAAAGTTTAAAAAAAAAGTCCGCTTCATTCTGTATTCAGACCCCATCAGTTCTTTCTCTGGGGATGGACAGCATTTTTCATCGTAAGTCCTTAAGAGCTGGCTTGGATCACTGTATTGCTGAGAAGAGCTAAGTCATGCACAACCAATCATTTAACAATATTGCTTGTCATTTTGTACACAGTACCTTTCACTTTGTAACAGCCCATGCAAGTGTTTCCAGGTTTTTCTGAGAGCATACTGCTCATCATTTCTTATAGGACAACAGTATTCCATCATGATCACATACCACAACTTGTTCAGTCATTTCCCAATTGATGGACATCCCCTCAATTTCTAATTCTTTGTCCCCACAAAAGAACTGCAATAAATATTTTTGTACATATAGGTCCTTTTCCTTTTTGTTGTCATAGTGGTATTGCAAGTTAAAGGGTACATATGGTCTTATAGCCCTTTGGGCGTAGTTCCAAATTTCTCTACAAGACAAGGATTGAATCAGTTCACAACTCCACCAAACATGCATTAATGTCTCATTTGTCCCACATCCCCTCCAGCATCTGTCATTTACCTTTTCTATCCTATTAGATAATCTAATAGGTATGAGGTAGTGACTCAGAATTGTTTTAATTTGCATTTTTCCAATCAATAGTGAGAGTATTTTTTCATGTGGCTATTGATTACTCCATCTGAAAACTGATCATATCTTTTGATCATTTATCAATTGAGAAATTTTTTTTTATAAATTTGATTCAGTTCTTTTTGTTTGAGAAATAATGCCTTTATCAGAGAAACCTGCTTCAAAATTGTTTTTCACAATTATTATTATTAGCTATATTTCCCTCCACTCTATTCTTGCCTCTGTTTATTCTATTCTCTCTTTTGACCCTGTGCCTCATCAAAAACATTCTGCTTCTGACTACCCCCTCCTCCAATCTACCCTCCCTTCTATCACTCTCTCCTCACTTCTCTTATCCCCTTCCTCTCTTACTTTCCTTTAGGGTAAGATACGTTTCTATGCCTAATTAAGTGTGTATTTTATTCCCTTGTTAAGTCAATTTTGATGAGAGTAAGGTTCACTCACTTCCTCTCACCTCCCCCTAACCTCACCCCTCTTTCCTTCCAATGCAAAAGCTTTTTTTGCTCTTTTATGTGAGATAATTTTCCCCCTTCTACCTCTTCCTTTCTCTTTCTCCCAGTACACATTTCTCTCATCCCTTATTTTAATTTTTTATTTATTTTTTATTTTAAAAATTAATTTGTTTATTTTTAGTTTTCAACATTCACCTCTATAAGACTTTGAGTTCCAAATTTTCTCCCCATCTCATCCCTCCCCCCACCCCAAGATGTCACGCATTCTGAATACTCTTCCCCTAATCTGCCCTCCCTTTTATCTCCCCCCCCAACTTTTATCCCCTTTCCCTTGTATTTCCCTTAGGGCAGGATAGATTTCTATACCCCATTGCCTGTATATCTTATTTCTCAGTTTCATGTAAAAACAATTTTTACATTTGTTTTTAAAACTTTAGGTTCCAAATTCTCTCCTTTCCTCCCTCCCCACCCACCCTCATTGAGAAGGCAAGCAAGTCAATACAGGTTATACATGTGTAGTCATGCAAAACACTTCTATAGTGGTCATGTTGTGAAAAACTAACTATATGTCCCTTCATCCTGTCCCATCCCCCATTTATTCTATTATCTTTAGACCCTGTCCCTCCTTAGAAGTGTTTGCTTCTGATTACACCATCCCCCAATCTGTCCTCCCTTCCATCATCCCCCTGCCCTTTTATCCCCTTCCCGCCTATTTTCCTGTAGGGTAAGATAGCTTTCCATACCCAAATGAGTATGTTATTGCCTCCTTAAGCCAAATCTGATGAGAATTAAGATTCACTCATTCCCTCTCCCTTCCCCCACTTCCCCTCCACCATAAAAGCTTTTTCTTGTCTGTTTTATGTGAGATAATTTACCCCATTCTACCTCTCCCTTTCTCCTTCTCCCAGTATAATCCTCTCTCATCCCTTAATTTTATTTTTTAGATATTACCCCTTCATTTTCAACTCACCTTGTGCCATCTGTCTATCTGTCTATCTATCTATCTATCCATCCATCTATCTATCTATCTATCTATCTATCTATCTATCTATCTATCTATCTATCCATCCATATATTTTTCCCCTCAACTACCCTAATACTGATAAAGGTCTCATGTGTTATAAATATCATCTTTTCATGTAGGAATATAAACAGTTCAACTTTAATAAGTCCCTTATGATTGCTCTTTCTTGTTTACCTTTTCATGCTTCTCTTCAGTCTTACATTTGAAAGTCAACTTTTCTATTCAGCTCTGGTCTTTTCATCAAGAATGCTTGAAAGTCCTCTATTTCACTGAATGACCATTTCCCCCCCTGAAGGATTATACTTAGTTTTGCTGGGTAGGTGATTCTTGGTTGTAATCCTATCTCCTTTGACCTCTGGAATATCACATTCCAAGCCCTCTGATCCCTTAATGTAGAAGCTGCTAAATCTTGTATTATCCTGATTGTGTTTCCACAATATTTGAATTGTTTCTTTCTGGCTGCTTCTAATATTTTCTCCTTGACCTGGGAACTCTGGAATTTGGCTAAAATATTCCTGGGAGTTCTCCTTTGGGGATCTTTTAGAAGGTGATTGGTGGATTCTTTCAATTTCTATTTTACCCTCTGGTTCTAGAATATCAGGGCAGTTTTCCTTGATAATTTCTTTTTTTAAAAAATTTATTAATTTATTTTGATTCATCAACAATCACTTCCATATGCTTTTGAGTTTAAAATTTTCTCCCCCTTCCTCCCCACCACCCTCCCCAAGGCGGTGCACAATCTGATAGAGGCTATACATTTACATTCCTATTAAACATATTTTCACATTAGTGAAGTTGTCAGAAAAAATTAAAGCCAATGGGAAGAACCATCAGAAAGAGGAAACAAAACTCGACAGAAGAGAAAAAAAAAGATAGCGATTCAACTTTCACAGTTATGATTGCTATTTGTGTCTTTTTCTCCATCCTTTTCCCCCCTGTTCATGCTTTTCTTTCTCCTCTCTCCCTTCCCTTCCTCACCAGTACTTCGCTTTTGACCACCACCTCCTTCAGTCTTTCCTCCCTTCTATTATCCCCCCCCCCATTCCCCTTTGCCCCCACCACTTCTTCCCTCCCTTCCATCCCCCCCTTCCTTCTCTTTCCCCTTTTCTCTCCTACTGCTCATAGAGCAAGTTAGATTTCCATACCTAACTGATTATGTTATTCCCATCTTGAGCTAAATTTGATGAGAGCAAGGTTCAAACAATGCTCACCCCACCCCTTCTTTCCCTCTGCTGCAATAGGATTTTCTGTCTTTTTCTGTAATGTAATTTACCCTTGTCTGCCTCCTCCTTTCTCAGTTCATTTTCTAAGATCAGACTAATCCACTTACTTGGATCCATTTAACCCACTTGATTAGATTTTTTTTTATCATTACATCAAAGTCAACTAATATCCACCCCCTTTATGTGTACTCCTTTAACATGGTGTAATAACAGTATAATTCACAAGAGTTGCAAGTGTCATCTCGCCTTATAGGGATGTAAACAGTCTGCCCTTATCAACAACATTTTGTATCTTTCTGTCCCATT